GAGGGAAGGGCTGCGTCAAGGTGTGGGACATCAGCCAGCCGGGCAGCAAGAGCCCCATGGCCCAGCTGGACTGTCTGGTGAGACCTGAGGGAGGATGAAAAACAGAGACATACTTGAGTGTTAAAAATAAAGATGGACACACTGATTCACATATGAGCCAGACAAACATGTTTGTACACTATATTCAGTGTCGTCTCTCCTCCTCAATTCTGATGACTGACATCATCAGAATATCCTCTTTCTTTTCCACAACGTCCTCAATTATATCATTATCTGTCCCATGAGGCCTCACACACTGTCTTTGTGCTTAATACACTTACAGCAGCCATAATCTAATTGGTTCTCTTATCTGGTCCAATCAGAACAGAGACAACTACATCCGCTCCTGTAAAATCCTCCCCGATGGGCGAACACTGATCGTCGGCGGGGAGGCCAGCACGCTGTCCATCTGGGATTTGGCCACACCAACCCCCCGCATCAAGGCGGAGCTAACGTCGTCCGCCCCCGCCTGCTACGCTCTGGCCATTTCCCCTGACAACAAAGTCTGCTTCTCCTGCTGCAGCGACGGCAACATCGTCGTCTGGGACCTTCACAACCAGACGCTGGTCAGGTAAGAGAGGAGAGAGAGTGAGAGAGGACAATGGAAGGAGGAAAAGAACATAAAAAATGTCGGTGTCTTACAAACACAAATAGATTGTTGTCAGGAGAGACCACAGAGGGGGAGAGGAGGCAGGCTGCAGGATGTGGAAGCACTTCAGCAGAAGAAAATAGAGGAATGTCAATAAAATATGGAAGAAGAAGTGAGGGAGGGGCAGTCTGGGGCCTCCTCAGGTAACTGAAGGGTCAGGTGAGAAGCGGGGAGGGGGTTAGCTAGCTATAGGGGATATGGATGGGATGAAACAGTCAGAGTTTGGCAGGGTAGGGCTAAAAGAAAGAAGGAGAACGGAAGGGAAGATTGTGGAAATGCAGAAGGCAGGAGAGAGTCAGATGTGGGTGGTGTGAGGGCAATAGGGGCCATGGGGAGGGAAGGATTAAAATACATTTGGTCTGACATCTCCGAGAGAAAAGAAGCAAAGAAACACCCAGGAAGTCTGTAGAGGGAGTGTGTACACAGGTGTGTGTATTCATCTCTGAACCTCCTGTGTGTGTGCGTGCGTGCATGTGTGTGTCCTCCCTGCAGGCAGTTCCAGGGCCACACAGACGGAGCGAGCTGCATCGACATCTCCAACGATGGCACCAAGCTGTGGACGGGGGGACTGGACAACACGGTGCGCTGCTGGGACCTCCGAGAGGGACGGCAGCTGCAGCAGCATGACTTCACCTCGCAGGTACCCACACACACACACGCACACACAATCTCACACACACACACACACACACTCTCACTCAGATAAAAATCAACATCTAACACGTAAATCACTTGGACCTTAACACATGTACACACACCTAATTTTTCTACTTTACAGGTACAGGCACAGTACATCACAGGGTCATAGTCACATAACACACACACACAAACACACACACACACACACACACACATAAATCTACCACAAGGTTCACCTCACAAATAAACTTGCACTCACAAACACACACATCATGACTTCACCTTCACGTATTGACAACAGTACACAGAAAGGCATATACAAACAGCATGATTTCACTTTATAGATTTAGACGCACACACACACACACAAACACGCACACTGTCTCTCTCACTCCTCACTGTCACAACAAAGCTATAGAGTTGACCACAGTTGTCAGATGAGTTTCGATCCACCGTGTAATGACTTTCTCTCTCCCTCGCCATCTCTCTTCATCCACCTCTCTCCCTCCCTCTCTTGTTATTCTCTCCCAACATCTCTCTCTTTATTAATTCATTTTATTTTTACCTCTACTTTGCATTTCATTCTTTCCTCATTCATTTTTTTTAACTTTCCATCATCCTTCCTCTTTCCCATCCTCACTCATCATCTTTATCCCTTTTCCTTGATATCTTACATCCCCTCATTCCTTCATCTGTCCTCCCTCTCTTCCATCCATTGATCTCTTTCTTTCATCGACCTTATCTTATTTCCTCCCTCATCTCTCTTCACATCCTCTGTCATACCACCTTTGTTTTCATTTCTACCCCTTTATGTTCTCTCCATACCCCCTCCTACTCTGTTTTCTCTCGTTTTACACTCTACCTTTGTTCGCTTTCCTGCATCTGCAGATCTTCTCTCTGGGCTACTGTCCGACAGGCGAGTGGCTGGCTGTGGGAATGGAGAGCAGTAACGTGGAAGTCCTGCAC